GGCAGTGTTTCATTCTGCTGTGCATAAGGTCACTATGAGTCGGTACAGACTCGATGGCACCTAACAACAACAACAAAAGCAGGGGAAGTAGGGGAGCAACCTCTTTACTACCAGGTGGAGGTAGAAGTCTTTTGGATTTTAATGACAGGAGAAGAGGAATTTTCCTTGCTACTTCTAGGCAAAATACCATCTGTGAAGTGTTATTATAAAAAATTTAATGTGAATTTGATTAAACTTCTAGATTTAATCCCTAATTTACCCCCATTTATCACTTAACACCATGCATAAATTCCAAAGGCCAGGTTGTTATGTGAAAATTAGCATTAGGTGAAAATGAAGGATGACCAAATCAGATCACAAAATAGAGGATGACTACATCAATGCATAACTACCAAATTACTTCATTACATAACTAGCCACACTGACACATAACATTAACCATTACAGCCACTGATACTAGCTTCATGCCTTGGCATTTGTTACTTCCAGACTATATCATTAATGTGGAAAATAGTTGGGTAGTAGATTTTTTTTTATTATTGTTGTAAATGCAAAATGTCAGATAATGAGAACATTGGTAAGTGAGGAGTAGGAGTATAGGAGACACAGGGGACAGCGGAACATGATAAATGACACCATGGAGTAACTGTTCTGAATCTGCAAAACTTAAATGGACTGATTCCTTCATCCAAATCAGTTATAAAAGAGAAAATGTATAAATTCAAAGAGATTTAGGAACAAATACAATGCATTAATTAAAATTTTTATTCTGATCCAACTAAACTAAATACATATAATATTATGAGACAAATGGGGAAGTTTGAACATGACTGAATATTTCCTATAATTTAGTTGTTACTTTTAGGGTTGATAAGGGCAATGTGGAAATGTTTTAAAAGAGTCATTATATTTTAGAGATATACCTACTCCTCATTTATGGACTATTTCATTACCCAACATTTCACATTTGCAACAACAGTAAAAAATCTATTATCCAACTATTTTGGGCATTAATGACAGACTTCTAGCAATAATGAATACCTAGGTCAAGGTGTGCATAACAGTGGTTGTGATGGCTAAGGTTATTGTCAACTTCACTCAGTCTTGATTCTCAGTAGTCTGCAGTTATGTAATGAAGTAATTTGACATCTAAGTAATGATGTCAACTTCCATTTGTGTTACGGTTATCCTCCATTTTCATATAATGCCAACTTTCTCATAACATCCTGGTATTTGGAACATAAACATGTTGATAAGTAAGGAGTAGTTGTATACTCTGAAGCACTTACAGGTTGAATAGTACAATGTCTGGGATTTGCTACAAAATAACGCTGTGGGAGGGGAAGTTCAGAGATGTGGACAAGACAAAATTGGCCATGAGTTGTTGAATCTGGATGTGGCCTAGAGGAGTTCATTTTATCATTTTTCTACTTTTACATATGTTTAAACTTTACAATACAAAGTAAAATATTTAAAATGGCAAATGAAATGCAAATATATACTCACAAAAATGCAAAATATGTTTGCAAAAATTTCATGCTGTTGAGGTTTTCCTACTTGTTAAGTGCCTTTGAGTCACTTCTGACTAATAGCAACCCTGTATAGACTTTCTGAGGAACGGCTGGTGGGTTTGAATGGTCAACAATTCAATTAGCAGTCCAGTACTTGTCTTACAGCGCCACACCAGGAATCCCATGGTGGTGGTGGTGGTGGTGGTGGTGGCGGTGTGGCATGGAGTCAGTTCTCATAGCGACCCTGCATAGGGTTTCCGAGGCTACAAATCTTTATGGAAGCAGGAAGTCTCATCTTCCCCCTGAAGAACAGCTGGTAGTTTCCAACTGCTGACCTTGAGATTAGCAGCCCAATGTAACAAATATGCTACCAGGAATCCCATAAAAAGCCCTTATTTAAGAATGTGTTGAACACAGAAGAAAGAAGAGTTATTAAAAGGAGAGCGTGACGAGAAATTGTCCATTAAAAAAATATTCTTTACTGTAAAATGTATTTCTAGGAAGTATTAAAGTTTTTAAATCTGGAGATTGTACTCTGAAAGCTAAAAATAGCATTCTGTTGCTGTTAAGCAAAGTAAACAATGCATTATTTATATGACCATATAACAACATTTATGAAAGCATAAGTTTTATATGATAGCTAGTTTTGTAATACTCAAAATAATACTTATTTTGTAATAAAATAAGTTAATGAACATTAAATAATTAAAATTAATATGGATCACCAAAAACATTACCCTGGGCCACCCAGAGTAGAGACTGGAGGAAGGCCTTCCAAACAGTACCTAACATCAGAAAACACAGAACAAGAGTGCCCCTGAGTCCCTGTCAAGCCCAACTCTTTGAAATTTAGAGTTTGCAAGGAGCAGAACTCTGGCACCAGGAATGTTCAGTTCATAGTGTGTTTTTACCCTGGATGGGTAAGCGAGAAACCCTACCTTTCACGCAGAAGCTGTCTTGGTTTCTCAGAATCCTGGTCTCATTATGGTATTTCCAGTTGAAGGACACAATCTTCTTCTGGGAAGCTTTGCAGGGTAGCTCCGCCATCTTGCCTTCTTCACCCAGCACCACTTTCTTTCCCTGAGTGACTGCTGGGAGGAGCACTAGGTAAAAAGAAGGGATCAAGTCTCAATGCTACCCCCAGCTACCCTCACCTCCCACCTTTGCACCTCCCAACCAGCTTTTCATCCCAGGCCTTCTGCATTCCCACCTCAAGTCTGAGCACTCACCCAGTTGCAGCACCAGGAGCAGATATCTGAAAGAGGTTCCCTGGTTCATTGCGACCATGCTGATGCTGAGATGGGAAGGCCTAAGGGAGATACAATTGCTAGTCAGCAGGCAACATTAGGTCTGGGACACACAAGGATGATACATACATATGCCTTCAGAATCCTATTAGCCAACCCAGGGAATGAGATGGACAACCTAAAAGTAGACTGCAATAATCGTCACAAAATGTCCTGCCTTAGTTCTTTGCCAACTGGGATCAGAAAAAGATTCATGGAGAAGGTGCAGATTGGTAGGAATTGAGGTCAGAAAGCTAGATGAGGACATGAAGGTCCTTGAATGCCATGCTAAGACGCTGGAACTTGGTCTTGGGCATTAGGGAGGAGCTGGATTCTGGGTAGAGAAGGACAGATCCCTCCAGCTGCTGTGTGAAAGTGAAAATTGAGGAAGCAGGAGTACAACTATACAGATGAGATAAGATGAACCCTAAACTGAGATGGTAGCTGTGGGAATGTGGAAAAAGAGAGTGATTTGAAGGAGAGTTGTGAGGTAAAATTCTCAGGAGTGTGTATGTGGGGAGAGGAGGCTGAGAAGAAAGAAAACTGAAGGTAATTCTGTCCAATATCGGAGTGATTCTGTAAGACTCCTGAATGGGACAAGCAGAAAGATGCAGCTTCAGAGTTTACACAAAGGAACAGTTTTTGTGGACTTGGGAGACAGTCAAGGCTGGGCTCTGACTAGACCTGGACAAGTGGATAGCATCGGGTTGCAGGAATGATTCTCAAAATGTGGCATCAGATCAGTAGCAGTATTACTTGGGAATGTATTAGAAATGCAAATTGTCAGGTCCCACGTCAATCCTACAGAATAAAAAACTGGAGGTGGGTCTAGCCATCTGTGTCTAAGCAAGCTTCCAGGTGACTGGTGCATGCTCAAGTTTGGAAACTACGAGTTCTGTGAAAAGGAAAGAGGAGGGGCATTTCCACCCCACCATAGTACAGAGAAGACTATTGGAGGAAAGTAGTGGGAGGTGATATAAAAAAAGGCATTTAGGGTCTGATTGTAAATCTTGACAGGCAGGCTAGAGAACTACTAGACCTTTGTTCTCTGTTAACTGGGAGCTGCTGCAGATTTTTGAGCAGAGATGTGACATGGTCAATGCAGAATTTTAGGAAGCATGATGTAGTGACTGAAGGGAGGGGGAAGAGACTAGATAGTACAAGTGTCTTTGAACTCCAAGCACAGAGATGGGGCCTCAGCATGATGGCTGCCTGGGGAAAGAGGAAAGAGGCCAGGGTGGATTTGGTCCACCACTTGATAAGATGAAATCCTGCATTCAGGTTTATTGTCTTTCCCTCAAGCCTATTCCTAACCCTTGGTACCTGTGAATGTGACTTTGTTTGAAAATAGTCTTTAAAGATGTTATCAATGAAGTAACATGAGGTCATATTGGAGTAAGGTGGATCCTAATCTAATGAGTGACTCCTTATAAAAGCGGAGAGACAGACAGATGAAAGACTGTCACATAAAGATGAATCTGTAAGCCAGGGTACATCTGAGGCTACCAGAAGTTGTTGATGTTGTTAAGTGTTGTCAAGTTGGTTCTGATTCATAGCAACCCTATACAGAGTTTCTGAGATTGTAAATCTTTGTGAGAGCAGAAAGCCTCATCTTTCTTCCAAGGAGCAAGTGATTGGTTCAAACCATTGACCTTATGGTTTGCAGTCCAGTGCTTATCCTGTAGAGCCACCATTCTCCATACCAGAAGTATGGGAGAGTAAGAAATGGTCTTCCTCTAAAGCCTTCAGAGAGAACGTGGCCCTAACAACACTCTGAATCTGGACTTTCAGGCTCTAGGTTGTGAGACGATAAATTTCTGTCCCTATAAACTATCCACAGTGTGGCATTTTGTTAAGCAGCCTTAGGAAACAAATACAAGAGAAAATTGTGGATTCCCTTTGTTATCGTGGTGGTGGTGGTTATATGCCGTTGAGTTGGTTCTGACTCATAGTGACCCTGTATAGGGTTTCTGAGGCTGTAAAAGAAAACCTCTTCTTTCTCCCACTGGTAAATTTGAACTACTGACCTCACAGTTAACAGCCCAACTTGTAATCCACTACGCTTCTAGGACTCCTTTCTATACTTAACATTATTTCTGTTACTAAAATGGGTCATTTAAGTGTGACCCAAAGTCCATGCTGCTTCTCCATCATTTTTTCTCCACTCCTTTCCACCCTGCTCTCTACCAAGAGGTTGACTGCCACAGATGGCATTGTCCTCCAGCTATCGGTTGAATTTGAATGAGAAGTGGTAGCAAGAGAGAACACAGGCATTTTTTCTGGCTATGTCCCCTTAGACTAGAGCTCCAGGCCAGTGATCCATCATCCACAGTTCAAGCCCTCACAGGGATCCAGAAATACCATTTCCGTTCCTTGCCCCTTCAGGACCTTTCCTTACTGTTATCTGAGAGCTTTAACATGTTAGCTCCCTTAACCCTGTCCTAACCTCTGCAAATAAACCCCTCTTTACGGGCTCCTGGTGTGGCACTATAGGATCAAAACTGTACTGTGAACCACAAGGTTGGCAGTTCAAACCCATCAGCTGCTCCTTGGAAACTATACAGGGTTGCTATGAGTCAGAATTAACTGGAAGGCACTTAACAACAAACAACAACACGGGTTCTTAAACCACCTGATCTGGATGCTGGCTCCTGTTGGCTCTGATGCCCAGTCTGCAAGAAGAATGTAGCACTCATTCTGCAAAAGGATGTGCTGGGGGTCTGGGCATCCTAAAGACGTTTGGGGAAGGTAAGGAAAGGCCCCTTCCAGCCAGTAAGTCCATCTCTCTGGAAGAGGATCCATCTAGCACCTAACACACAGCAAGTGAGGTAATGTGTTGGACTGCAAAGTTGGTTTGAATCACAAGGTTGTCAGTTCCAGCTCACTAGTTGCTCCTAGGAAACCCTATACAGGCTCGTTATGGGTCAGAACCAATTCGACAGCACTTAACAACAACAACTATATATATATGAGCTCTGGTAGCATAGTGGTTACGAGTCAGGCTGCTAATCTTAAGGTCAGCAGTTCAAAAGCACTAGCTGTTCCGCGGGTGAAAAATGAAGCTTTCTGCTCCTGTAAAGGTTTATAGCCTCAGAAACCCTATACATATATTTAAATTTTAGCAGTTCAAACCCACCAGCTGCTCCTACAACACAATAGTTATGTTTAACTATATATATATATATTGTTGTTAGTTGTTGTTAAATGCCATCAAGTCAGTTCCAACTCACAGCAACCCTATATAGGGTTTCTGAGGAGTGACTGGTGAGCTTGAACCACCAACCTTGTGATTCAAACTGACCTCGCAGTTCAGTTCATTATCCTGCAGCGCCACACCAGGACTCCATATATATATATATATATATAGAGAGAGAGAGAGAGAGAGAGAGAAAGAGGACAGGAAAGGAGTCCTGGTGGCACAGTGGTTAAAGCATGCTAACCAAAGGATCTGAGGTTTGAACTCACTAGCCACTCTGCAGGAGAAAGATGTGGTAATCTGCTTCCATAAAGGTTTATAGCCTTGGAAACCCTATGGTGAAGTTCCACTCTGCCCTAGAGTCAGAATCCAGTAGATGGCAAGGGGAAGACAGGAAGGAGGCTCCCAGAAAGGAGGGAAAGTCAGAAAGTCACTAGGATGAAGTTGTTTATAAGTCAGTGTAGGGAATAGGAGGCATTAAGGGGATGAAGAGAATGAAAATGGTTCCATTGTTTCCCATTCTAAACTGACTAGGTTCTTGGTGAGCAGGGGGTGGAGGAAGGACAAAGTTTCCATATTGGCAATCTCTTCCCTTGAGTTTAAATTCGGCTTACTCCTATAAGGGATGTTCTTGGCACTTCCCCACCACAGTAGCTATCTTCCCCCAACCCACCACCACCACCACCACCACCACCACCACCACCACCACCCACCAAGCTTCCTCACTCTGCAATCTTGACCCTGGCATCAATGTGGAGGCCCAGTTCCTGCCCCCTTGCTCCCTGCACCGCCCCCCAATCTGCCCCAGGGTTCAGCTAAGTGATGGAGGCTGTGGGTTTCCAGCCCAAACCTGCTGTTTGCTTTGGTGCCTTGGGCTTCCGCTGCCACCCCAGAGAGCTGGCCTTTGATTCTCACATTTTCAGCTTCCTCAGACCTGCTCAGCCCCAAAGTAGAGCATCTTGTGTACCACAGCCCTGGGAGAGAAGCTGGGAGGACTTGTTGGTTCCCCATGGGGCTGGTGCTTCTCCCTCCCTCCCTCTCTCCCTGCTTCTCTGCTCACATCTGTGCTTTTCTATATCTGCACCTCCCTAAGCTGATGCCTCCATCTTCAACTCCCTGTGCCTGTGTCTCTCTCCCTCTGTGCCTCATACGCCGGGAGGTGATTCTGGCTTTCCTGGTCTTCCTTGCCTCCTTACCTCTTCTCATTTTTTCATTTTTCCTTCTCTAGCTACCACTAAACTGTAGTCTACCTTGCCTATAAATAGGCATCCTGGCAGGAAGGCAGACTTTAAACAAGCTTTGATCTGAATGAAGCCTTCCAGCTGCAAAACAGAGGTCCCCAGAGCATGTCCTGGGTCCAGAAGAGAGGTGAAAGCAAGGAAACTGGCCATTGGTTGGAAAGAGACAAGTGGACAAAGGATAAAGGACAGATTTCCCAAGAAACACAAAAAGACCCCAAGGTAGGAGGGAAAGGAAGGAAACAGGGAGGGAAAGACACAGAGCAACTCATTAAAGCAAGAAGTACATTTCACACAAAGTACATTCACACAGAAAACTCAGAGCAGTACAAAAAAGTGGAGTCAAAAGCAAAGAAATGAAGAAATTCTGAGAGACGACATACCTGTGCAGAGCAGGAGACCAAGAAAGAGATAAGACCAAAATGGCAACGCAGCACCACACACTGTCTCAAAGCCATTGAGGTTCCTGCCACCCTCACCCCTGGCCTCTGGGGCTGGTATGAAGAGTGAGCTTGGGGAGAGGAGGAGGGCACAGCCCCACCACAGTGACAGTCTGTG